GCATGCAGCGAATGAGGAAGACAGTAAAATTTTTACCTATTCTATAAGAGATATGTGTAAAGGAGGAGATGTAGAGACCATCTCGACATACAACTGATGCTGTGGAAAAATTGAAAGTAAAAGAGTTTGATTTGGAAGGGTTTGTTCTTAGGCACAGACGAATATTCTGAGAATGTATTCTTCGTTCGGTTCAGGAGGAAGTTATTTATTCGCAGAAGGTAGTAGATTGTAATAACGCAGAGGATAGTTGTTGTGAAAGTTTGATTATCTGAGTTGAATAGTTTCAGCAACAATATATTTGATTTATTTGTGTAAGAGAGTGACCAAAAAACTTCTTTATTGATGGGATAATATGCAGATCTCTTTAAGCAATAATATTGACCAAGCCAATAGACTTTAAATTTGGTAGTAATTGGACAATTAGATTAAGAGCAGAGATGCCAGGAAATTTCCTGTTAATAACGTTGTTGTGGCGTCCAATCCAAAAAAGAAACCTCTTTTATTTGTGGATAGGCTTATATATGTTAAGAAGTGAGAGGGACGAAATGAACAGTACACAATAAGTATTAAAGAATACAAAAAAAGACATCGGATTGCATAACTGCTCGAGTCTTTTGTCGCTCGTGCTGTTGAACTGTCGTATTGCCGCTTCTCTGTCGTTGAAGCGTTATTGTGGTTATTGAATGCTTGCGCGAGCTGTCAGATTGAGTAATTCAGCGAGCAGTCTGACTGCGTAACTGTGGCGGGAGCCTTTTGAATTAATCGTTAGGTGGACTGGTCCTAGACTGGTCCTAGCTCCTTTTATAGTGAGATTGATTTAACATTCCGGACACATTGGCTTAACTGCCAGAGTTCTTTACAACATTCCGACAGTTGTATGTATGCTTGATTAATAGATTGGAAAAAGTTTATAACAGAAGGTTTTGTCTGCAACATCTAAGCATTGCAATTAAAATTGATTGAAAAATTGGAAAAGTTGGATTTGGATAAATAATTCATCACTTTACGTGTCGAAATATTTATTTTATTAATTTTGTATAACAAATCATTTGCCTGAGAATATTCTGAATTCTAATTAAAACAACTCATAACATTTTTTTCAGCTTCGCCGACATTCCTGAACGAAGAAAACCAATGCCTTTAGGCAGAGTCTTGTTCAGCCGCATATCGTTTTCTAACGGTACTCCTAGTTCGTAAGGCTTCTTATTCATTGGTTTTCTCCATTGATTTTTTAGATGTGGTTGTTTGGATTTTCGAATTTTCTTTACCGTTTATTTCTAGAGGATGTTGTGAAAAAAAATGAAGAAAAGATAGTATTTCGTAATACGATATAAACAGTATAGAAATATTAAAAAAAATAGTACAAAAATAGCAAAAAATATACTAAAAAAATAGTATAGAAAGTACACTGAAAAAGCAGTATAAAAATAGTAAAAAAATATATTTCTTCTTTCGTAACAAGTAAAACTCGATTTCCTTGGTTCTTTTATTTAAAAAAAAGAAAAAAGAAACTAGTCTCCCATGTTTTGTTAAGAAAAACTGTTTTGTTAAGATTGAATTATCAATGGAAGGGTGAAGGTTTGTTGATTCTTTTGATGTAGTTGAATACCAGGTGTCGCTGAAATCGCAAGAAGCAGTGAATCAATAATTGCTTTGATACTGTTGGTATAATGTATTGTATGTATAGATATACTGTGCAATGTAAACTAATATTGTGCATCCATTGTTTTATGTTCTATAATAATTTTTATGACCTCAGAATTGACCTCAGAACTATCCAAAAATCCGCCCAACTCGAGGAAGAAGAAAGTCCTGAGTGCCAAATCATTTTCGAAAGACGTGTTCCAACTATCGTGAATTTTTTGTAGAATTGTTGAGAGGTCCATAAGAGCCAAGAATCGCCACCTCAGATTTGTTCAGGATTGATGATCCGTTGAATTGATTGAGCAGTTCCTTGAGTCCAACAAGCTGGGTTGAGTTGAATTATGTTGTACACGCACCAGATTGTAGAAAGTTTTATTGATAACAGCCTCCTCGTTTAATACAATAGGGTTTATATATATTAGGAAGTGGGAGTGGTTTCATTAAACATTTGTAAGCGGCTTTACACACACCGGAAACTGGCAAGATCCAATTACAGCATAAGCATCGTAGCAAAATCAAATGGGAAGATTAGGAGATGAATTTGGATAGATATTCTGAGCGATTGTTAGCAAAGGCATTTCCTGTAGGATGTGAATACAAAGATGTGAATTTAGATAACAATAAAAAGATCAATAAAAAGATGGGAAATAAATCTAAGGAATATAGAATTAGTTAAATGAGTCATAATGAGGAATTTATTTGATTATTTATTTGTTTGGAATTCAGTTGGAGTTTCGCGAATTCGGAATTCGCAACACTAACAGGTCGGTTGGGAAGACGATAACAAGCGTCATTTGGTCCTTAGTCCAACCAATCCGATTCGAGCCATCGATCTAAGGATTCCATTAAGAAAGAATCGACTTAAGGATTCGATCAAGAATCGACCTAAGGATTCGATTAAGAAAGAATTGACCTAAGGATTCGATCAAGAAAGAAGCGAGTAAATCCTATTCGATCAAGAAAGAAGTAAGTAAGTCTTATTCGACTAAGAAAGAAGCGATTAAGTCTTATTCAATCAAGAAAGAAGAGAATAATTCTTATTCGCATCAGCTCGTAACGAAGCTTGAAAGTGGTCGAAATAGAAATATGAGCATAAACGATTCAAGAAAGTTAAATTCTTTTTCCTATCTCATTACAAGAAAGCAATAGAACTACGAGAAAAGGATTTACCAGAAGGATTAAATTACGAAAAAACGATGAAATGACTAGACGAACAAAAATCTGATATTGAGAAACAAGTAATAGTGTTGGACGGTATAATCTCCAAGACTAATGATTTGGAGATAGAATGGAAAGAATTGCTACGTTCAGCAAATGATGATGAATGGGAGAATAACGTTGCGTTATATACTTGCATGAGGACTGTCTATTTGCAGGAAGACTGTCTATTTGACAAAGGAAATAAGCTTTATTGTAAAAGAGCTTCACTTCTTACGAAACTAAATCGATTAAGTGGAACAATCATAGAAGTTAAAGTGATG